CTCTCTCCATTTTTCTCTAGTGGCCCTTAGACTGGGGTTTCATGCACACATTTTTAGACTATGCTTTGTAAGATGCCAATAGTTACCGTCTCCATTATATGACAGGCGTCCCCTCCTCGTAAGTTCATCTCGGGCGCAGAGGTTTATGTCTGAGTCGGGAGAACACGAACTTATCAACATTCACTTCATTTTCAATGATTGCGGGAAGAAGATGTCTGGTACTTGGATATGATGTTGAAGAAATCTAGCCTTTTAATTCCAGACGTATTTGATCTGAATCAATTTGAATTTGACATTCTAATGACTGTACGCAATATTGCGTGAATGAAAGATAGACATACCTTTGTAGGAATTTAAGCTGATTCGGTTTACTGGAGATATTATATACACAGTGATGTCAATTGAGTTCATGAGTTAATAATAATATAAGATGGTGGCAACTATGATATAAAGTTCGGTTTACTTTGGAACATAGAGTCCGGAAGACCCAAAACTTGTTCAGTGAATGACTAAGGACGGAAATGATAAAAAAATAAACTGACCTATCTCTCTTAAGAAGGTAATAGAAGAATATCTTGCTCTACAGAATTCAATCACAAATCGTGGCGCAATTTCCGAAGTTCTGTTATTATGAAGCCAAATACTTGAAGTATAAAACTAAGAACGAATACCTTTGTTTATTTATCAAAAGAGCAAAGCTTTTTATACTATTGTATTTTATAGCGCCTTTGACTCAGAGGTGGTTACAGTGTGTAACTCACAAGTAGAACTACAATCTTGACGACTGGAGTAAGGGGTAATTTTTTTAAAAATAAAATTTGAAGAGATACGTTGTATAAGACGATGAATGATATCGAGCAAAATTGCATACATATTGATTATTTTCTTAGATACCACGCAGAAATAAAGCACACAAAGGTTTAATAAAAAAGAAGAATTTATATATTTTGTAATTGGTATTTTATAATTATTATATACCTGGAGGCAATAAAAGAACTATGAAGGATGAAGATCATAGACGGGAAATATATATGTATCTGATTTATATTGATAAATATATTTAAAATTTTAAAATTATCAATGGAAAATAACTTGGAAAATTGATGTTGGATGTATACTTCCATAAACATATAGTCGTTTTTTCCGAAATATAATATCACATATATATGATCTTTTTTATACTTCCGTCACTTTCCTAAAATATTCAATAATGAAAGATTATACACCAGATATCTCATGTATCAAGAATTTTCTCACCATGATAACTTTTATTTGTGATATTCCAGTGAGAAAAAAATGGCTGCTCTATGTGATGTGATTGATTGTAGTTGGCTCCAGCAAGCGAGTTTCATTTCGGGATTCGCCACACAGTCAGCCTTTTGCATAAGAAAATCCATCTGCCTTAATAAGGTTTTCGGTTTTTATTGAAATGATTTTTTGGTTAGGTCCATAAAACTTCCTCAACTCCTCTCTCCAAGATGTTCGATTGATACAAACAGTATCAATAAATTATTCACAATAAGAGTTCCACTGAAAATATATATATCGAAAATATAACTATCGCGAAAAAGAATTCTCGTTTTACGATCTAGGAGAGTATAGATTTGACATAGACAAGCTAATCAAAGGCCGGTGTAAATGAATAGGGAAAATAAAATATTCGACTTATTGAAAGTGAAAAATTGGAGCAATAAATGGAAGTGTGCAAAACAACCAACCTTCTCATCCTTTGTATTCGGATTCCTTCTCTCAAAACACTGAATAAGTCCAGTCTTCTCTTTATCACCGAACTCTAGATTCATGATGAAGTGCATTTCAGAAGAAGTAAAGTGGCATCTCCATGTAAATTTTCTTAAAGGTCTATTATAAAAAATCAATCTGAATGATACACATGTTTACACTAGAAACCACAAATAAATTATACTTTCAAGATATCATCCATGGGGAAGTATTTTTCACCATTCGGTCCAGATCATGGAATGAGTAGGGAAGTGAAGAGACAAGCAGTTGACAAAGCATAGATTTTAGAGTCCTATATGTTAATATTTTGCTAATTTCAAGTTTCAAACGAAAAAATTTGAAGATCAAATTTCCAATTTCTGAAAGGATAAATCATATGATGTAAATCATCAGCAATTGATTATACAATGTTGGAAACTGATGATTAATGGGACCTGATTCCCCCTCTCCCTTCTCAAAATAGGCCTTTACTAATTTCCAAGAAGTGTTTTGTGTGACTTTATAGGAAATGAGGACTACTTAGATGTATTCTGTAAATATCCAAAGTAGAATGCACTTACTAGTAGGAATTTATGAATGAAGTTGTTTCCTTTTTTTGGTTTAAACCATTGGGATTCAGGAGTCAATATAAAATTCTTAATTTAAATTATATCTTCGTATTTTCTTCAAATTTAATCAATGATAAGCATTAAATGATTGACGTTGAGAGCAAATTCACTTAACATCAATAAGCAAATATCAAGAGATAAGTATTTCAAAAATTAAATTCCTGAATTTCAAAAGCTTGTAACTAGTAGCTCACATTTGAAAAGATACAAAGATTTCAACGCAGAATAGTGTATGTATTGTGATAAAAAAATATGAAATTCGTGAAATACAAAGTCTTCCGGCTAGAACCGAAAGAATAATACTCAGTAGTGGTACGAGAAGTTTTGAACCTAGCAATATTTGCAAAAAAGTTCAATGTTTTTTTGAATGTAATCATAGATATCATTACTTTACTCAAACACACAACTTATATCCCTATTTTTTGGTGTGAAGTATGAAATTGGAATTCACTGTTGAAATTTGCGACCGGCTGGTCCATGATAATGTAGATAGAATGTGGCACCAGTGGTGAGGAGATTGGCAGTGCATGTGACAAGAGAGCACGATGCCGTTTGGATCGGGAGACATATACGCTAACTATTAGATGATTCAAAAGATTAGTCAGAGAATTCTAAAACGAACCCGAGATGGCAGACTGGCAGACTGCAGTAGAACCAGAAAACTTGGAGGGCACTTTAATCAGACTTTGATTGTGTGTTGAGTCTCTTGATGGTCCAAAGTCAAGAGTTCGTTTCCTGGTCAGTAGCGAGACCTTTGAAGTCAGCGGGGTAATTCAACCTACAGACCACAGTGAGGAGGAAATTTCGCCTGCAGTAGAGACTCGAGTGCACAGTGACGACGTCACAGTAACTCCAACCCTCGTCCTGAGACTCCTAACTATGGTCCGGCTCAAGGTGATCGTTCCCTTTCCAATCTTTGGAACCAAGCCTCTTCAGTTCTCCTTAAACCCTGGATTCCGTTTGATCCCGTCATAAGTCTAGCAGCTGACCCCACGGTCACCTGCTATACTTCCAGGGGTAGACATATGAACTAAGGGGGTTATAATCTGAGCTCAACTTTCCATTTTTTCTAGAGATGCGCTTAGTACGAAGAGCAAAAACGTCTTGGAGATGCTCTCGCATGATGAGCTTGGTGTCTAACGAATTCATGGGCTTCAACTTTGATACTCATAGAGAAATTCCTGCTTCATGTCGTCACGAGACTACCAATTGTCAATATCTGGAATATATAATCTATATTCGATGACATGAATCATTTCATGTCATCGAATAATGTGTAACGAGTTTGATATCTTGCACGAGGCTAGTGTAGCATGCATAGCTTTGGACCTGCGGTACCTTGACCGAGATAAAGCCCCTGATCCCAGCCTTACTTAGGGAAGACGTTAGGTGGGGCCTTACAAGAAAGTCTTTGGTACAACACCACTCGAACAGAGTCCTTCCAGCCATTTGCTCGGTTTCTATCCTTAAACGAATGCATCTCTTTACCTGCTTACCCCAAGGTCTCAGAAGTGGGACTGTTGTCTGAATCAAGCAGTTTGACAAATGGTTCCAAAAGCCCTTCTAAGCAAATATAATTTTCCATGATTCACAAGTTCCGGCATAGATATCTTTTCGACCCTTGTGGTTGATGAGGACCTTGTTTATGATAAAAGAAGGCGGTCGGATTTTGGAGTCATGCTTATATTTTAATTTGCTTCATTATCCTTTTCAGATGAACCGAGTCAATCATTGAAACTCTTCTTCCACAACACTTCAAGCCTACCGATGTTGCTTTTGTTTGGCGAGGAAGATAGGAAGATTCCTTTGTATAGAAGACTATCACATCAGAGAGTACAAAATCTCAAGCATCAGATGTCAAGAGAAGAAAAAAATGCCAGGAAGAAGAATATTGATTTAAGCCAGCTCAAAGGGATGGGCATCGTTCCAGTTGAATGCACTGCAAGAGAAAACAAGTCATCACAAATTCGCCAGAATGCGCACACGTTTCGCTCCATTCACTCCACAGGCCGTGCTTGTTTTCTCCGCTGAGAGTAAACTACTCCGAAATAATTCTTATGTCCCCAAAACTGAACCCCAAGAGCTTACGCTAACCACAAAGTTCGAAAATCCTCCACCGCTCCCTCTCTCGCCTCTGGCATCTGGCCCTCGGTGGAACCATGATCGGCACGTCAACCTCAGGGCAAAGGAACATTCAGCACAGACCGTCGATCCAGATCGGCTGTAGACACCGAGCAGCTTCGGTGACTTTGTGACCCGCGGACGAGTCAGTGAGTCAATCGCCCAGTCACCGGAGGGACTGGGCCCGACGGAGGAGCGGACGGCCTCGGACGGCCCCTGACTGACCAGACCAACCCAGTTGCTACCCGCGCAGGCCCAGGCGGAGCGGGGGAAGGTCGCCAGAGGCCAGGGCCGGGCAGGGCAGGACAGAAAAGGAAAAGGAAAGGGAAGGGAAGCGAAGCGAAGCCGAGGGAGGGAACGGACGCACGCACGAACGAAGAGAGTTCCGCATACGGACATGCTGCTACGTGACGCCATGCTAGGGGGGGTGTCGAGGAGGAGCTGCTCTAGGCGAGCTCAGAGATGGTGCGGGGGCGGGTGCGGGTGGGGGCGGACCAGCAGGATAAGTAGAGCGCGCTGGGAGAGTCAGGTTCATTGCATTGCTTGTGGAACTCTGATCGAAGGTCCGGAAGCGAAGCAGAAGAGTCTGAGCTCGAATGGTCGAGTCAGTCAGAGAGTCAGTCCGAGTGAATGAGTGAGACTCAGAGGCCGTGAGAGGAGGAGGATTGATGAGTTGGGAAGTGGAGGTTGCTTTCCGACGAGGAAGGACCCGATAGAGAGAGAAAAGAGGCGAAGAGGCCGAGCAGATCCGAGCCCAGGCGCGAAGGAAATCCCGTGCGACGAAGAGCGGAGAATGTTTATCGGGTTAGGTAGTCCAGCGGCCACAACGCGGAGAATGCAATTGGGAGAGGAAGGCGGTGCAGTCGTTGCATGCTCTGCGTCTGCGCCTGCAGCACCCCACACACAAACCAATCTTAAGGAGAAAACAGGGAAGAGTTTCTTGGATTGTTTCCGCGAACATTTGCTGGGTAGTGATGAGTTTGAAGGATCGACAATGGACCCTTGTGCAAAGTCGAGCATGAAACCCGTCCTCCCTCCCACTTCGTCTCCTCCACGCTCAATTGACCACCGCATCGATGCGTTCCAGGGCTTCCAGAGCTTCCCTGAACAGCAGGCCTCCATTTCCCTGTCCGACAGCTTCACATTCTTCTCTAGCTCTGAATCTGCGCCCGCTCCCGCTCCCGCCCTCGCCCAAGGCCCTTTCGCTGCTCCGCCCCGGGGTGGCGTCAACGAGGCGAATGTGGCAGCTGCTGCCGCAGGCCCGGCAAAGAAGATAGAAGACGCCTCCAGTCCCACGACGTCCAATTCGTCGGGATCCAAGCTGTTGATGATAACCCGAAAGCTTAAATATGGGCTGGGCGAGAAACTGGCCGAAAGCATTAGGGAAACGGTGGGGGAAGTGGTCAAGAACGAAGTGAAGAAGGACAGCGCGAACATCGGAGTGGTGGATCAATTTTGCAAAGGCTTCCCTGCAGCAGCAGCATCAGCAGCAGCAGCCTCGGACGCCTCGTCGTCGCCGCCGAGGCCCTTCGGCGAGGACTTTCTGAACTCTGAGCCCTGCCAATCGGAATCCACAACCGTGACATCCCTCTCGGACACTTCATCGGGGGCGTCCTCTATCTCGCCCACACAAAGAAATCGGCGGGCGCTGCCGAATCTCTCGCTGCCCCGGCCCTGCGCGGTGACCGAGGAATTTCTGCGCGACTCTGAGACCCGGTTGCAACAGGGCGGTGCAGCAGCCTCATGGCAGCGATCCCCGCGCTTGAGCCCTTACGGATCGAAGCGCATTGTCAGCACTCCTCCCAGTCTCAGTGCGCATTTGACCCACCACAATGAACCGCTTCCTCTCAACGAGAATGACTCCGAAGACATGATTCTGTACGGCGTTCTCAAAGAGGCTGCCAACACGGGCTGGGCTCCCACCACTCCTCGCCCTGCCGCAGTCGTCGCTCCTGCTCCTCTTGCACAGCTGCAGCTGCAGCAGCAGGGACATCCCATCGTCAAAAGAGAGCCTGCAGATGTTGCGCCGTTGAAAAGAAGTCTTCCCAAAGTTGCTCCGACGATGAGCATCGCACAAAAGATGAAGCAGCAGCAGCAGCAACACCAGCAACACCACCAACAACAACAACAACAGCGGAAGGATGTCGTTCCCGCAGCGAAGCCTCAGCACCATCATTACAGGGGCGTGAGGCAAAGGCCTTGGGGAAAATTCGCAGCAGAAATTAGAGATTCGGCAAGGCAAGGTGCTCGCATTTGGCTGGGCACTTTCGACACCGCCGAAGAGGCAGCCACGGCGTACGATCACGCAGCTTTGTCGATGCGAGGCTCCCGTGCGCTTCTAAATTTTCCTGCCAAGTTGGCCGTACCTTCTTCCTCGCGAGCTTCGTCCTCTGCCAGTAATGCGATCGCGGAGAAAGTGAGCGCTGCCAGGCGGCAACATAGCGACAAAGCTGCTGCAGCCTCACTTCTTAGAGCGAGTCAAAATAATATGAACACCGGCAAGGTCGATGCTTCGTCTGTCAACCAGCAGCAAAAGAGACCGCGGGATGACACAGCACCGGATTCCAAACCTCAATCCAAGCAGGCACGCATTGCTGTGTCTCAGCCCTGGCATGTAGGACCACAGGCGCAACAGCAGCAGCAGCAACAACAGGGCTCTTCGGTCATGGAGGTGGAAGACCTTGGCGTGGATTTTCTGGAGGAACTTCTGTCCAGGAGTTCAGGCCCTGATCTCACCACAGCCCCACCTGCCATACCAGGATTCGCGGGTTTCGGAGTCTCAGATTACTTCCCCGAGTTCTTTTAAGTGGAGAGTTGCTTGTAGGCTGCAGCAAACATCTGCGCCGAGCCTTTTTGTCAGTGTAGACATCCCCATCCATTCTTTCGTTGCTCTTCGCAGCTCTGAACTTATTCCTAGCGTCGGCTACTCGGGAAATCTCGCGCCTTATTCCTTGAGTTCGAATCCCGATTGTAATTTAGTAGGCGATCGGTGACAGATTGTACTCTTATTAGACAACTGTAGACACCATATAGCCCGGAGCTTTCCACCTTTCTAGGGAAAGAGAGACACCGCGCAGGCCAGAAATTGTAAAGAAGAATCAGATTTTACGGTTGCCTGATTCAAATTTTCATCCATAACAGGAACCCATCTGTAGTATATGATCACGTAGTTTGTCCGATCTTAAAATGTTCACTCATGGTGGCACCAGCGCGAAGCTGACATCTCCAGAGTTCTGGTCACAAGTCTCAACCAGGGATGCGTTTGTGCATCCTAGGAAGACTGAGTTAGAAGGATAATTGTACCAAATGATAATGGACGCAACTTTATACCGATATACCCTTTCAATCTCACTGTGTCTCTGGCTGGACCTTTCGATCTTTCCTTGCATGGCTTCTAGCTCTCCTCCAGGACGAAACCGATGCAATGGTTTCGTCCTGGAGCGATGCAACTAATCGGTGCAACTCCTTTCATCCTTGCGCTTCAGATTTTCTTTCACGATGATAGTGTTGTTTATCACCTGTTGCGAAGGCCGGAGTTTATATGGAGGTTTTGTTCCACAAATTTCCTCCGATCGGAAACTGGATCAGACGTTTTTTTTATGTTTTCAGCAGTTGAAGTTAGAGCAAGTTGCATGCTCTCTGTTTGAAACAAAAAAACTGGCCTTGCTTTGGAATCGATCTGGGTGCTCCCACTTCATGGAGGCGTCGATACTGTACCGCAACATTTGAATTGGCGATGGCTGGTCGACGAAGCCACCTGATCGACAGGTTCATACGAAAGCGGGCTACCAGCTTTCTGGTCGTTCTTGGTGCTTTCAGATAGCCGCACTGAGGATCCTCCAGGTATATTTAGTGTGGCCACGTTGGTCAACGCGTACCAGCTTTTGCAGCATTCTTGGCGTGACCAAGTTAAAGAGGGAGAGAGAGAGGGACGCATGCAATGATTGGGCAGTTTTGCACCGTGATCTCAATTCTGCCAAAACCTTCGAGTTCGTTAGAGAGGGAGAGGGGAAGGGAGAGAGGGTGCTACCAGAAGAACGTATGCTGAAAGGCACCGAAGCTGGCTGTAAAGTGTGGTGCCTTCACAACCGGCTTTTGAGTTTTGACTCCCTGATGTGGAAGGTGGGAAGGCAACAGGGGACGAGTTCTGTTGTGTTCTGTGTTCACCACTGTTCTTGATTTGGATTTCTTGATGCGTCGATCCTGTGCCCAGTGTATCGTGATCCGTCCGAACTGGAGGTCGACATGGACTTCTTGATGCTGTTTCAGCACGAGCCTCTCTTTGTGGTCAAATGTTCGGATTCTGTTTTTAGATTGGCCAAAAGTCATCGCTGAAGTAACATAATCACAGACCTGCGGACTGTGGAAAAGGTCAACCCCTTTACGACGAGCGGGGCCGAAGAACATCCCGGCAACTTTATTTCGACATTAGTTCTCCGCTCTGGACAGCTGCGTCTTGGTCAAGGGAGTGCCAGTTTACAAGAGTAGACATCTTTGCAATCGTCCAGGGAGGAGGAACGGACACTCAGACGCACAGGCCCATGGACCATCATCATATACCGTGTCTTGCTGATCGAACGAGCGACCTCTCTCTCTACATTTCTATCTATCGATCGATCGATCCGGCAAATCGAAGGGATGGCCATCCCTTCATCTCCGGCCAGCTCTTTCGCCTTCTGCCTCGGAGCGCTGCTTGGGGTTTTTCACGGCACAAGAGCCGCAACCTCTCTCCAACCGATATCCCGATTCCGGCCAAGCCTAGCGAGTAGCCCCCGTCTTTATTGAATCAAAACACACTCTTACACGCGATCGGGATTGTTGCGAAAGCGAAGATGTATGTACCATGCCATAATTCAACGTTGCGGCAGAGACGCTCGTCGTCTCACGTGATTCTCTTCACAGATGGGTTTGATTGCCGATGGATTGCATGAGATGCTGGACGATTTCACAACTTGCCTTGAGAATCTCATGCTCTTTGTTCCTCCAGGACAGGAGTGGTTGATTGTGTCTCCCTGCTACCTGCTCGTTCCTGTCAGATCTGTCGGAACGCATCTACCCTCAACTCCACCCCTAGTTCAAGGTAAAGTACTTACAGTCCATTCTAAGCCCCCTTCTCCCTCATATGCCTCCTGTTCCTACGCCATGTGTCGACATGTGATTCCCATGTGTCTTCGACTACTTCTCCAGGCTCTAAATCTTGGAGATCTCATGGCACCAAAGAAATATCTGGGCAAACCACACCGCAGCTTTGGTTGCGGCTAATCTCAAGCTCTCTCTGTTTCAGCGAACAAGATGAAGCCAAAGTTCTATTTTGTCCTCGCTGCTCTTATCCTGCAAGTTATCTCGCTCTTGTTACTTACAGTGGCTTTGATCATGGAGATGTGTACATCAAGTTCAGCTATCGAGCCACTCCTCTGGAGCAGCTCTTTGCTGCTTAGAGATTGATTCAAATCTGATGAAGGCAGCCAAATCCCGTTTTGTCTGGATGATGAAGGTCAAACACAATCCTTCCTCGGACTGGGAGTGCAAGCAAGCAAGCGAACATAAGATGCCACTGCTTGAATCAACAGAATACGCTCATCATTGTAAGATAACACCAGATAGAGTATCACACAAGAAAACGCAAGGAAAGGGGGAAAATCGCAGGGAATCCCTAATCCCTGCCTGAGAAGGAGGTGGACCGTTGACCGTTGCCTGGGCATAGAGTCATGTGCGAGGTCTTTCGGGAAGTCCTCCCAGTCCCCTACCGGTCAACAATCTGCTTACATGGCAAGACTTTGGAGCACAATCTTTCCATCGAAGGAAGGACGGGACTTTGGCACGTCAAGATAGCAGAACGGTGTCTGCAGTAGAATTTAGAATGCAAGCCACATCAGTAGCTGAGCTAGCTGAGTGGAGTGGAGTGGAGTGGAAGTGGAGTGGAGTTGAGGTTTGTGCCTCTTCTTCAGACCTCAACTCTGTCTACGTGCATACAAAACAACCAGCCCAACGAGAAAGATGACGACGACTCGGTCGGTCCCCTCTGGAACTCGACCTCACCCTTCAGACTTGCGATTTCTCTTCTTCTCCTTGGACCCCATTCGCACAACGTCCGGTCCTCCGTCCCAGCTCGTTGAGAAAGTCCATTCTCCTTGCACACTCAAGGGCCATCTTTACCTGACGATCGACAATTACCCTGTCGTTCTTCCGTGAAGCTTCGTTTCTCAGCGTTTGCAACATTCCCTTCCGCTGTTTCATCAGCCTGCACTTTCGACCATCCGTGGGACATCGAGCCAGTCTGTGTACGGAGTTGACGCTGTTGAATGATGAGACTTTGGGCCCATCGATTTCTCGGATGCAACTCTGGATCTGGAGATCGAATCTCCTTCCCTCTCTGAGAAACGTATCCTCTCAAAAAACACGTGTAGGCCCCAATCAGATGCAAATCTGCAGCTGGGACTATCTAGAACCGATCCCACAGACATGCATTACGCACCACATAGTCAAAGACAAGAAGTCGCCTCTCGCCCGAAAGTACTCGCGACATAATGACACACAATGCGTAGATATTGAACAGGCGCTGAGATTATATATTGACACATAATGCGTAGATATTGAACAGGCGCTGAGATTATGTATTGAACGAACCCACGCTGAGATTATATATTGACACATAATGCGTAGATATTGAACAGGCGCTGAGATTATGTATTGAACGAACCCACGGGGTCTCCCGCTCTTACGTCCTAAACCAAGTAACAGAGTTTGACACCTAGCATGCAAGCAGACGACGATTTGCAGCGAAAAAGGCTCTACCTCCCAGAGGAAAAAGGATCCGAATGATCCAGATTGCTGGCAAGGATTTTATGTGCCCGGTCCTGGACGGGGTTTAAGGACTTCCTGCGCTTGTGTGGAAGGCTGGGTGTGGAAGAGTCAACTGCCACTGGACTGCAGGTCGAGAGGGCATCGAACGACGACGTGGCGACTGCAGTGTCATTGTCGACCACGCCGTCGTACCATCACGCTACTCCGTCGAATCCTTCCCAGTCCAGTCTGCTCGGCCAGGCTCCAGTCATCGACTGCAACCGCGCTGTAATCACCGTCCCTCGATAGGAGTGACGGGATATTGCAGGTCACGGCGACGTGTCGAGCCTGTAAAACGAATGGCCGATGACACCGCAGAGGAATCCAAACATCTGATATCTTCGGAAGGAGGCGTCTTTGTAAGCAGATCCACGATGGCGTAGATCACGATTCGGAGGATTGAATCTTCGGATTGAAGGATTCATGAACTTTTGATGACTGGAGGAGAGCAGGGGGGCGACATCTGGTGGCATGAAGAGTGCGCGAAAAGCACTCATCGAAGATAAACTTGTTTTACTTCGTCCCGTCCGTTGCTCTGTCTGGCGGTCTGTGAAAGACCCGATTGACATGAATACTTTCTAGTGTGCTTGAATTCTTCAACCTATTGACGCGAGAAAACCGGTTCACTTCCAATAGGAACTCATATGAATCTGGATAATCTTGACATCACACGATCGCAGCGAGTACCTGGAAGGTCTTAGTCTAGTTTGCGGCGGGATTGAAAATGCTCTCATGCACAATAAGCAATCTGTTTTACCGAGGGCAATGCGAACATTATTTTCCTCTTTCCTCTAAGTTTAGTTCTAGACAGTGCCTTCTCTTTTTCGGCGATCAAAGAGAGCACAAGATCAGACTTCTCGCCACCAAATACAGGGGATTCAATACTTTGAAGAAACCACTAGCTGCCTTCAGTTACGCTTTCGAAGAGATTTTGCCGCTCCGCATAGTCCAGAGGTTCGCTCGACTTGGTCACGCACGAGATTCTTCTACTCCAGCTAGACTGCTGATTCAATCAAACGGTATCAAACTCAAACATATAGATATCGTGGTTTGAACGTCCTCAGTCATGCCGTGGAGGATTGTTCGATATGAGCGATTGCGGGAGTACAGCCCCAGAGGAAAGCCCGGAGATGGCTGCCGCCGGAGTACGGTTTTCCGGCCTGAGACTCCACATATTTGCCCAGCATCACAGTTAGTTGAAGTCTGAGCAAAGGGGCATTGTAGAGGCAATGTCGACTAAGTGAAGAACTAATAAGCTCCAAATTCCTGATCTAGGTCGTAATGACATTACAATGTCGCAGTTTTACCATCGGAAGCCAATCTCCATATCAAACTGCAGTGACAGAGGAAACGTGGTTTTCAGTCACCTTCTTTACACCTTCTTCGGACAGCCATAGACTTGCAGCATTCCACTCAAAGTGTCTGACTGTGTGTCGGAGCTTGAAAAAGTCTCTTGTTGACGACCTATGGAAATAAGGTTCTGCGGTCTTGGAGAAACTGAAAGCTTTGAACGATTCGATGAGTTCAACTGGACCTGTCACTCGCGATACTGAAACTGCAGAACAGTGACGTGGCGACTAATGCCAAAGGCCCGAGGAAATAATTTTCCTTTGTCAGAAATGTAGACTCGAATGTTGATTCTTGAAATGTCTGAACAGTCTAGACCCCAGAAGCAGATTGATTCCTATGAAGTCCAAGGATGGCGACGGTTGCAATCTTAAGCCTGCTACGAAGCAAGGTATATGTTCAAACCGATGCCTGCAAAGATTCTGAAGCAGAAGCGGCAAATTTAACCCAAACCGTGACATTTCAAAACATCATGAATGACAATCCCAGACTGCATCTTCTGACCTCAGTGAGGTTTCATCAAGATCTCTGTACGTACTCTGAATTGCGGGCTTCGGTCTTATAATGGGAGACCTTGACCCCTTTGAGCGGTCCGCTGGAGCTTTTTGCATCTTTTTGCGAAGCCAAGTGTTTGTTGGGACACCAAATTATGTTTTTTCTCCGGACATCCCACGATAACACAGCAAACAAGTCCTGCAATAGTCCAAAATTCATCTCTTAATCAACGCGGATCATGGAAGGTTAGAGTTTGAACTTCGTGTTCTGATTATGCTTATGCATGACAGGACAGTGATCACCAATCAGAGTATCAGAATTTCAAGGAACAGAGCGTTGCTAGAATATAGGCCACAAAGAGAGTGATGCCGCTTGAAGTACAAGGCCGACGCAACGCAACACACGCCATGCACGTACGTGCGTAAGTGCATGGGGTGGAGTAACGTGCATGTCATTATAGACCACGCTCCGGGCCAGAGCTGCTGTGTGCCTTACTCATACTCTCAGGCCCCTTGCAATTCGCTGCCTCGATTCTCTGGTCTCAGCTGGAGTCCTACGTGTGTATGGTTCAATATCCCTTCCCTTGGGGACTGAACCATATATAGTCACTTTGCCCGCTCCCAGCTCACAGCATCAGGCACCCGCCATCAAGCCATCAGTCATCCGTCGTCGAGGTCTAACATCTTGCAAGGTACGGATCATTCTCACTCGCTTGCCAAGACAAAGTTTGGGTTGGGAGGTACAGAGTGTCCATAGCTCTAAATTGCTCTCGGTACTTCCATCTACTGAACGATTACTACAAGGCCACCGTTTGCCAAACTACCACGACGTGATCGCTCTCCAAGGACATGTAACAACGCTGGAGCGCTCTGCTTCATGCAAAACTTTAGATGCCACTTCGATTAACAGTATCTTGATATCTGTGCCGATGAATCTTCGAAGGGGTGTTTATTGTTACCTGAACTCCACGTTCATTGTCGTACTTTGTTGTTTTCCTAGCTTTTCCTAGCTGAATGCCGATTGTTGCTGCTTCTGCTTCTAACGTGCGGAATTGGCGTATTCTGGCACATGCCTGCAGTTCGTTAATTGTCAACTAGTCTCCGGCCTTTTGCTGAAACACTGACCTCTGCGGGTCGCGAGCGCTCAGTATGGCAGCATTGGCATCTTTCGCCTGTGCATCGCCTACACCAGCTACGAAGCAGTCAGCGCCAAAAGCAGCGACTACAACGACTGAAAATGCACCTGCCGCCGTCTCCATGGCAGCCCAAGATGCCAGCAGCAGGATCACCTCTGCGGAGACCTCGATCGTTAACGCGCCCAAGAGCGACGCCTCGGAGGAGTTTGGTGTGGATCTGAGTTTATGGTATAAGCCCCCTATTAAGTTAAACTCTTCCATCTCCTTGTGAAGTTGCTGCCGGCAGATACGCAGGACGAGTTCTGGTTGTACTCACTGAACTCTGAAGAGACTCTGACTGACCGGGCCTTGGTTCGCTTTGCTCTGAATCACTTGCAGGTATGGAGCAGGTCGAGTGAAGTATCTGGGGCCGTTCTCGGCACGAACTCCATCTTACCTCAAAGGAGAGTTCGCTGGCGATTACGGCTGGGACACAGCAGGTCTGTCGGCAGACCCGGAGTCATTTGCTAAGAACAGGGAGCTCGAAGTGATCCATGGCAGATGGGCGATGCTGGGCTGGGCAGGATGCTTTTTCCCCGAGCTTCTGGTCAAATCCAAGTCATGTGGCTTGAAGGAAGGCGTTTGGTTCAAAGCTGGATCGCAAATTTTCACCGACGGCGGCCTTGACTACTTGGGTAACCCGAATCTGGTGCACGCCCAGAGCATATTGGCTATCTGGGCCTGCCAGGTGGTCCTGATGGGCCTCGTGGAAGGATATCGCAGTGGAGGCGGACCTCTGGGAAAAGTGACCGATCCTCTCTATCCCGGAGGAGACTACTTCGACCCTCTGAATCTGGCCCAGGACCCTGATACTCTGGCTGAGCTCAAGGTTAAGGAGGTCAAGAACGGTCGTCTAGCTATGACTGCCATGCTCGGCTTGTTCGTTCAGGCCATTGTCACCGGCCAAGGCCCTGTTCAAAATCTTGCCGATCATCTCGCCAATCCTTACGTGAACAATGCCTGGGCTTATGCAACAAACTTCGTTCCAGTGAGACATTAGCTAGCTGAGCTGTCTGCTTAGCAAAGCCATGTGTCTATCCTGTACATGTTCTCAAATCTCTTACTAGTCGACTTGAAGACCGATGACAGTGTTCGGATGAACTGTTACGGCGATGTAGTTTTTGTAATTGCACTGTGCTGTAAAATATTTAAAACGATCTTGCCCGCCCAACCCTCGTACGAAAAGGCTCAGTGATCATAACTGTCTCTGATAGAATGTAATTTGTGAGTATGATGGAGAAATTTGGGAAGATCATGACTGTGAACTGGATCCAGCAATTCGTCAGTGTGAAAATTGGAACATTATTCTTTGCTTACGAAAAACTACCATCGATTCTTGATGTAATAAATCTTCTATCGGTTGTAACAAGAGAAGTGAAGAAGTGTTCGCTGTATGTAATAAAGTATTTAGCATCAATCATAACTTTCACATAAATCGTATCAGCTCATTCAAACACAAAATAAACAATTGACTATATATTAAAAATAAAATCACATACAGTTAAGAGCGGAGACAAGGAAGATTATAGAAGAAGCTAATACTAAGAAGAAGTACACTGGCATGAATTTTGTCAATACGTTTTCAACATGTGTAAATAGAATACTTCGTTGAAAGAAAAATAAAAAAATTCACTATATTTTGGAATACTAAATTAAATTCTATATAGTCAGGGAAATACTTCCTGACAAATAACTTAATGAATATTCCTCTCACATACTGCATTCAACAATACTTTCGAAACTCGGCAACTTTCAGTCAAAGTTTAACATTCCACTTTTCGGGAATAGTCAAAATTAGTACATGTACAACCTCCTACAACTGAACTTCTTTCTTATACACATTGACAAAACGCCAACTCAGTTATTTTACGCGTTTTCTCCTACACCAAAATTTCCTCTATTCTTTCTCTAATTCAAAAATTTCCATGGTTATATTTCGATTGTTTTCGTCAACTGCCACAATGTATGCACTTAGCATATTCATGATATAAGTCAACATCATAGCAATTTCCTTGCTTGCTAGTCTCTTTTGTCTTTGCTGGATCACTACCTATTCAGAACCCAAATCATTCCAGATTGACTTCAATTTGTACCTCCTCACATGCAAGGTTAATATTATCTAGACTTTGAGCAGAAATATTACTCTTCTTTCGTTGAGTTTTCCTTCAATCTTGATGTCAAACAACCTCAAAATAAAGTTTGGAATCGTCTTTCTATGGGCTGGACTATCGTGCCCCGGACGATAGTGGAGCCGTGGAGTGGAGAAAATAGTGAATCTGTAAGTTTGGATGATTGGCTTTCTTTGTGAATCTGTAAGTTTATATTATTGGCTTTCTTTGTGTAGTATCGATGTTTTTTGGACGGTGTACAAATCGATCGATCGAGCCTTATCGAGATTCCGTCTCGTCAGTTCGGTATCGCAGTGGCTCTAAAATCTTTTGTTTATGATCTGAAGTCTTCTGTTTATGCTCTGAAATCTTCGTTTGGGTCGTATTGCTCGCTCGCATGCTTGGTGAAACAAAATCTTAAGCCTGCAGAATTTGTTTCCTTCTGCTCGTCAAGTGCTTTTGGTTCTGACCACGGACTTTAGAGCTTCTGTCAAATCTGATGATCGTGGGGATAGGCGTAGAAGCAGCAACTGCAACGAAGCCTTGTTCGACCACGGCACGACATTTTGACGAAGCTGTACGTTGCACAAGTTTGAAATTACTCGATGCCCTTTAAATCCACGATCGATTTGAAGAATTTTTAATCGCAGGTTTGTTGTCGATGAGAGTTAGACTGCATAATTTTTTTTTCTGCAGTGAGGTTCAAATTTTGGTCGCGATTTGCAGAGAAGGTAAGGGAGAAAGGAGGAAAGGGAGGCAGGGCAGACTCGAGGGTAAAGAGACGTGAGAAAGTGTGAAGTGTACTGTCCGACTACTGTAGACTGAACTAGGCTGGGGGTAAATCGTACGGCTGTGTATTTAATCATTTTATGGACGGATCAAAGGTCTAGACGAGGATTCTGATATGCACGAGTGGGTGCCGAAGTAAAATGCTGGAAGAGTGGATGATTTTGCACAGGAATTGAGTCGGTAAAATACTGCTAGAATTAGATTTCAAGAGGATTAAGAGCATCCACGTTGGTCGTGAAAAACAACTATGTCAGTTGAAAGTCCAAAAGCCTATTACTGACCTTTGCCGTTTTTTCTTTTTTCCGAGCCACAAGAGTTTTTTGCATTGTGGAGGTTATGTTGGATATCAAGATGATTGAAAACGTGCAGGTGTTATTTCCAGATTTTGATTCTCGCGTTCATCCGATAATCAAAGAGCTCGTCTGCTATTACTTCATTGACATTGCGAACGATCAGCAGCATAGGCCGCAGCCCTCTTTGTCTGAATCTGCTGATGCACCTCCAATCTTCCGCGATTTGGAAGATGCAAATGGCAATGTTTTGCAGTGGAGTGTTCTCCATTTTAATAACGGGAGTGCCACTCCACTCGTCTTGTAATGCATTGCCACACCTTTCTTGAAGCTGGTGATGAAAGCAAGTGCAAGTTGCAAGATAGAAACGTGAAAAAAGAAAACAAAATTTTTAGAGCTCTACGTGCAAACCAACATTTTTCATGACTCGCCAACGGATGAAGCATCGAGCCTAGGAACAATGGTTTGGTTAGATAATCAGTTGCTCCATTTGTGAAAAGAAGATCCTTCAAGTCACATCCAATCTTGCTAGTTTTACAGCTGGGTTTTTTGAACACACTTTATGTTGCAATCTCTTCCATTTGCCTTGAAAACTTGCATGAAGAGGCTGTTTGGATTCAAGTGTTGACTAAACTCGAAAAAGAAGAATTTTTCCCTTCAAGGTTAAGGTAGAACTTAAAAAATTTGATGTAGCAACATGACAACCACTAGTCTAGAGTAGCAATATTTGAAATAGTCAAATATTACTTATTTCATTACATACTGATTATATGACATATTTGATTTGATTACATTTACTTTGGAAGAAACAAGTGAATTTCAAGCTGAAGATCATGAATTTTGGTAAAATGTTGAGATCAAAACTATTCACCTTCAACTAGTATTACCTAAAAAACATACAATGTGAGTATTATCATAGTTCATTTCTAACCTTTGGTTTAAAAACAAGTGAATGAATATGACAAATAAACTTTGATATTTGAAGTTTTTGAGCGACTAACCTTCAATCTACAAGCCCCATCCCTATAGTCTCGCGCTCCTCCACAACAGGCAAAATAAAAAATGTAATAGATGAACCTTGCGGAGGCAAGGCTAAAAAGTGGATGCATTTGGATTGTATTGCTGGATGCGCTCTTGCATCCATGAGGTATTTGCTTGATGGAACCCCATCCAAACATAAATTGCTTGATGGGACTCATCAAGTTTCAATTTATCCGATGGGACCCCATAGACGGTGTGCCGTTGTTTACTTCTAGTAGGTGTTCTAGTACAGGTATGTTCTTGTTTTGTTATCAAGCATTTTAGATTTCTTTGAAAATGCACCTTAATTGATCTTTAAATGTTCTGCTCACAAAATTAACAACTAGCTAGCTCACCTCTCCTGGTGGACATTCCCGGTTTGAAATCTCGAGTGGATGCCCGAACCTAAACAGTTCAGAAGGCAGAGCTCAATCACATAAATTCTGAATAGATCTAGCGACCGAGTAGATAACTTCTCGGTGCGAATCTAGTGGAAGCTTGGCTTGTACTCAAGACGTAGACAACCACAAGGGGCTTTACTTCTCGGGCAGTTGTGTCCGTGTCAAAATCAACACCTGGGTAGTTCTTTTCAGACAAGTAAAGGTCTGGAATTCATTTCTAAATAACTTTCTTGTTGTTGTCTTCAGACGCAGCACGGAAGGGGTATGTGAAGGTGTGCTGAATCTCATGACTATGAATGACTGTACTTTATGAACAGGCCCAGGGAACAATCGTGTGCTTGAGTATATGATGGCCTTTTGCGAGGGCTTTACACCAGGAGAAACGCGAGCTCTTGTATGCAAGTTTTTTGCTCATCTGGTTCACTCAAGCAACAAAGTTTCGAACAATTTTAACATTGCTTCATTACCACCGTGTGCATGCAGATGTCAGGTTTCATGTGACTGTATGCAATCAGGAAGCCCTTATCTCATCTTCTATGAAGAAAAGCGCTCACATACTCCGTCAGTGAAAGACATTCAATCAAAACAAGCTGGAAACTCAATCAAAAATAGGAATTTGACTGCAGATACGAGAAGAGGTGTAATGCGATTTCACAGCCAAAAATTGGATGAGCCAGCTTTGCTCGTGACCGGTCCGCTTAATCAAGAGGGTGATGTCTATTGCAGTCTCATCTTTGGATTCTAGCTAGCATAAAATTTGAAACTTCCTCCTCCTGAAACAACCTCATGGCACTCCCACAGAGAAGACGAGAGAGAGAACGAGACGAGAGAAAGAAAGGAGTTGGGGAACGTGAGCAACTTTGGTCGATTTAAAGCTTCGGCAGCAGCTGCTAGACCTGCGATGCCATGTCGCCATGATTTTTGGCGGTCTCGATCTCGGACCCTTGCCTAGCAGTGCAGCAGTGTTTTCAGAAGCGCAGCACGGCCGCGCAACGACGGGCTCACGGTCCGTGAGGCTCTCACTTGGAGCCACCCCTCCGTGATATTGTGTTGCCCTTCCTTTACCAAAAACACCTGCGCGATAGCAGGGACAAAATTTAACTGTCCTTCTCCTCACGCCAGCGGGCCGAGCAATTTTTTGATCTTCCTCAGTCTATTCATACTAGAACAGTGTGACGTGGATCGTCGATGGGGTTCCATCGGGTTAATTGAAACTTGATGGATCCCATCAAGCAATTTAAGTTTGGATGGAGTTCCATCAAGCAAATATCTCTCTATCCATATCTCTGATTAAAAGTTGAGCAGCTCAGAGAAGAAAAAAGGTTTTCTTCTCCGAATGCAACCTTCAACACGTAAGGACGAAAACAACTTGCTGCTAAGGCCAAAGCTACTTTGGCCATGTATGAAAACAAAATAGCCTTGGTCGAGTGCTTGAAGGACACTCTTTGCCGAAATGGTTGAGAAAGAAGAGCCTACTTTCTCGACGGTAGAGTACTTGGAAAAGACTCTATCACAATTACCGTATGTCATTTCCGGTAATCCATCAATCCAAGTTGTAATACTC